TTATTGTCCGTTTTTTTCGTGACATTCACAAAAGTCGAATCAACCCCAGAAATCATTTCTCTTCTTTACATTGCAGCGTTCACCTGCTCTGTAAGCCGTTCTTGTCACGATTTCGATAATTTTAGGTTTTTCAGAGCGGTTTGAGAAGGATATGAAGGTATAATCGCTGGACATATATCAAATGCGGACGAGTTGACATCGAAAAGACGCCATTTTGTCTGCATCCACCTGTCTATTACGGATTTTTTTGCCATTCGCGAACACCTCTGCACATATGTTCACATGTGTGTGGTTACGGCCTTTGTGACATGACCACCAGAGGAGTGTCGACTTCGTTGAATGCCCTTTGCAACTTCAACAATTCATAGATTACCTAAGAAATTTCTGAGATATCAAAAGTCTATTCATGCCTGCATCCAAGTATGGTGGTGGTATGGTTGGTGCTGGTATGAGTTGTAGACGAAAGTCCAACCCTGAGTATGCTACCTTCTATTCTACAATATATGAATGTATCACCTAAAAAGCACCCTCATCAAAACAAGGCTTCGAACGTCTTTAATGTGCTACCTCCAAGAACTGATAATCAGAGAAAAATGGGAGGTTGTCCGAGGGTCCCAAAAGATTCAAAGCAGAGCTATCCACCATTCTTATTCTATTTATTGGGCTGCCCGGAAAGTTTCCGCCGATTTTGGCACTGAATTCAAATGCGCATATCTCGGTTCAGACATAATGCTCTTAATCGAAATAAAAGCTGTTATAATCTCATACGTTTCCAAGACATGTTAAAACATTACATTTGTTGAAAACGCTGGAATTCTGTGAGCGATAAATACGGCGAAGGCCATTCTAGCATCACGAGTGAAGAAGGTTCGACACCGGCACTCTCAGCGGTACACGCCTGTCGACATTTCCAAAATTTTCCGCCTTCTGTGTTCATTTCAAAATCACAAGTAGGTTATCCCGGTATTAGGCTCCTCTAAAATATCATTTAGTCAAAATCCTTAATTAATTTTTATTCATGTCCTATATAAAACCTCTACCCTCTTCATCTTCAAGGCTCTCGCAATTTCTGGAAAAGCTATCTGAACCATTGCTGCACAGCGCTGTTTTTGTGAATCTTGGACCAAACACATAGCTGATATTGCGACGTGCTCGCGCCTCTCTTCGGCTATTTATGGTTGAAATAATAAAGTAATGCGGAATCGCCTTTTGACCAGGTGGTTTTCAAGGCTTTAGAAAAGTGGCAACAACTACATTTGAACAAACTGACACTATCTCTAGATAGAGCGAGAAACTAGCTTCAAAATTGATATGTAAAGTTGCAGTGAATTACTGAAAATTAGTTGAGAACTAAGGCATTCAAATAGTGCTACCAAAATCGGCGGGAACTTTCCGGACACCCAATATAACACAACATGGCGCCTCCTTTACGTGAGGCGGACTAATCTTAGTATCAACAACAACAAACAAGTATGCCCTTTAACTCTTCCAGCCCTGAACGCTTTTCTGGCAAATTATTCTTCTTACTACAGTTATTACTTGTGAGCACATAAATGGCATTATAGCGAAATTTATTTATTTATTTATTTATCAATACACCTGTAGGTGTGCATAATTATGCAGAATAAGAAATGAGGAAACACACTTAAGGAAAGCAATGGAATGGAAGAAGTTCTTTAGCCATTTGAAATGTACTCCATAAATCAGTTTCGCATCGACGCCGCACCATCCCCACATCCCCAGCCAGGTCCAAATCCAGTAAACGCCGTAGAAAACAGATCTCCTAGCAAGGAGGAAGCCGGACCCCAGCGCTCCAATCCTCATCGCAGTGCATCCACCCAATGCCCCCAGAGCCGCGGATCGCTAGCATGTAAACATTAGCCACATACGGGCCTCAGCGTTTGTGCTCAAAAAGCGAACACAATATATCAAATTTATGCTATCCTAGATGAGGTGGTGGGGAGTCTTCACTGAGATCATCGTTTGCACCAATTGACTATTTACAGAACATATGTAACAAAGTTAACTGCCAAGTAGGATAACCAAGTCTGAGACCGCAGCATGTAGGGCGGATGCAGTTTGCATCTCATTAACCTAAATACAGACCACTACCGCTGGCTCAGTGGTGCCTTCAAGGTGGTTGACTTTGTTGATATATATGTATAACATTTTGATTTGAATCACATTCATCTCAGGACAGTTTATGTAGACATGGGCAATGGTAATAGGTCACACCACCTCATAGGATTATTACAATTTTTTGTATAGGTGAACCAATTCCAATTGGAGTAGTGTATTTAATAACGATTCACCGTGCTAGACAAATGCATAGCCAATGCGAATCAAAAATCCACGGCACTAGGAACATCAGGAGGGGAGCACCACCACAAGAGACCAAAGGGCTCAAGTCCAAACCTCTCCACACTCCCTAAAATCCGCATCTCTCGACGCTCACTGAACCTGAACCAAAGCAAGAGACACAAGGACTGCGCAACATCAACACAAAGACCAACGCATGAAGTATACTCCAAATGGCCGAAGATTGGAAGAACGCAAGAAGTCATCATACAGTCAGTATAGAAAATAATGGTCGAGTGCAAGTGATCATTGTTTCTTTGGTAGGAAATCATCTGGTTGACAGCTGTTCGTTTCTTCGCAACATGATATACTGAATTCTCTTAGATGGAAGCAGTTGGTTCGCTCACAACGTCTATATATCAAAATAGAAATTCATATGCAACGGCATGTCGTAATTGTACTGAAAATGAGTCAGTTTTAAATATCTGCAATATCAAGAGTAGACAGTAGGTCAATCTTGCTGAGCTTTCGAGCTTTCTCTTGAAAACAGAAACACTATTCACTTCCATAATGTTAAATGGAAGCATTTGCAACCATTTAGCCCCCCGAAAGAAAAGGGAGTTAAGGGTCTGTGTTTGGAAACATCTGTGGATACGAACATATTGAAGAGAGAGCAACCTTACACGACCTCTGCAAGGTCTAAATACCCAATACTTGCTAGGCCTAATCCTGAGTACGCCTTTCAAAACTTTGAAACAGAAAACTAAATCATTGAAAACACGTCTGTATAGAAGAGTTTTCAATTTAAAGATTTTCAGCCTATCACTGTAGCTAGGTAGGTGTTGAGGTTGCACAGTATCACCAGTATGATCCCCTAGTCTTCTGACGTTACGAGATACATTTCCCAAAAAAAGAATTTTTGTAAATGTCTGCTGCACTTTTTCGAGTTGGAGTTGTAGTTTACGCGTATTAGGGTTCCACACTGGAGAGCCATATTCAAGGATAGGTATGACATAGGCTTTATACAATTTGAGTAGTATTGCACTATTGTGGCATTGCATATTTCTGCAAATTGCGAAAAGCACAGAAAACGCCTTGCGTACGATAAGTTTGATATGTGGCTCAAAATTTAGGTCATGATTCACGAGAACTCCAAGATCTCGCACTTCCTGTGAGGAGTTTAGGACATGGTTGCCAAACGAATACTCTATGTAATTCGCCTTGCCAATATGAAGAACTGATGTTTTTGAAAGATTGACAGGGATATTCCAAGCCGAGGCCCACTCCATCATGTTCGAAATAGATTGAGAAAGAGCATGGAACACATCAACATGGGTTTCAGTGTCATAGATACCGTAGACTTTGATGTCATCGGCATACATGCGAACCTGAATCAAGTGATGTGTTTTCAGCTTCTCTGGTAAATCATATGTATAAACCAAAAAAAGGAGCGGCGATAAAACTCCTCCTTGTGGAACTCCACTTGTACATGAATAGCGTCTAGAGAAGGAATTTCCAGCTTTGACACAAAACATTCTGTCTTTCAAGTAGGATTGAATCCAACATAGCAATGACCCATTGATACCTAACTGCTGAAGTTTAAAAAGGAGTTTTCCATGATCGACTCTGTCAAAGGCCTTAGACAAATCAAAATAAATAACATCTACTGATTTTCCAGAGTTGATAGCTAAAGTCCAGTCAAAAATACAATCAGCGAGTTCTGTAACAGTTGAGGCTCTAGCCACAAAGCCATGCTGCTCTAGGGGAATGGAGTTGTTTTTGTTGAGCCAAGCAAGAATTTTATCTCTCACTATTTTTTCAAGAATTTTTATGGGGGGCGGTGTAATGCTAATTGGGCGATATGAGGAGAGAAGTACAGAGTCACTACTTTTCGGAATCGCTGTGACGATGGATTCTTTCCACAAAGAAGGGACTTCGTTAAACAACAGTGAGGCATTGAAGATCATTGCTAGTGGTTTATAAAGTGAAATAGCACATTTTTTATAGATAATTTGGGGTATTCCATCGAAAGTTGCGGATGTGGAGCATTTGAGGGTTTTCAGTACATGCAACACCTCAGTTGGGTGAATACACACAGACGCCATGACCTCAGGGGAAATGGAAGAAGTGTGTGTGTATCATCAGTTACTACATGGGAATCGGGATGGTAGCAAGAAACACTGAAGAAAAATATTTTGCCAGCGCTTCAGCTTTAGACTCGTCATCAAGATAACGATTTCCTGCATCATCACGAAGAACAGGAAGAGTTACGCACGGGCTTTCATTTTCTTATTGATTAGGGAAAATATTGCCTTACTATTGACAGAATTACTTGCATGTTTTTCACTGTTAATGAGGAACTTTCTCAAGTGACGATCCAGTTCAGAGCAGATTCTAATAAGGAGGGATTCACCAAAGGGTTTGATAGTGAATTGAATAATCTTAGTTTATGAGCCATTAGATTCACAACATGTTTGGGGTATCGCACCCTATGTGGCTCAGTTGAATGGAAGGGAACACACATAGCCAGGCCCTATATATAACACGGCAGAATTTTCTATATAGATCATCGACAGACGCATAATAGCATAAAGCATCCCACCAGTCAACCGAATCTAAGTATAAAGACAATCTACGAAAGTCTGTTTTATTGAAGTCCGGGAGAGGTAGTTTGCTTACCTCGGGTTTAGTTAACTCTATTTGGAACGCAACACAATTGTGGTCAGAGGACACAAAGGGTGGCTGAATCGAAACGTTTCTCAAAAGAGGCACGGACGATAGGACTAAATCAAGAATTGAGTCGCCTCGAGTAGGTTCCAAGACATATTGGGTTAGTCCACAACATTGAAGAAATCTAGAAACCTAGAAGAACATGCATTTTTGGGAGTGAAAGTATTCCAGTCAACATCAAGGTTAAAATCCCCTAGCAAGATCAGGTATCTGAACGAAAGGGAGAGATCAAGTAATATGTCGACAAGTTGTTCATCATCTCTTACGGAAGAGTCAGGAGGACGATAAATTAGGACAATTCTAACATTTTCGGGAACAAGGAATCAAAAACATCTAGGCACAAGATATCAGACTTCGATTCCGGGAAATTTTCAAGCCATTTTAAACTAGGCAACATACACCACCACCTTTTCGGTGCGTACGATCATATCTGAATAGTTTGTATGGAAGATCGTATGATGATTTCGGAATCGGAAATTTTAGGTGAAAGCCATGTCTCAGTTATAAACAATATATCTGGCCCACAGGTACTAAGTAAAAGGTGAAGATGATGTAACTTGTTCGAGAGACTCCTTGAGTTAAACAGTAAGCAATTTAAACCCTTGAGAGAACCATGACAGCTTAGACGTTTCCCGCAGCCTGCTGCGCTCTGGGTAGGTCATTGACTTGCCTTAATTCACCTCGGAAAACTACCCATGTGCGGTTTTTAGCCTGCTCATTACGCTTCTTACATTCTTGCCTGAGATCATAGTATTGCTTGCGCTCTAGCGCTGTCATGCTTCTTCTTATAAAGACATCTCAGACAAAGACATCGAGAACTCTGAATTGCGCAAGCGTTATGAATTTGCTAGGGCAGTTATCCAGTGAGAGCGAGATGGTAGGACTAACTTCACAAGGCGTGGGCGTGATTCATTCATTTTACCTAGTCTATAAATCTCAAGCGGTCGACATTCCACCCCGATAGTGTCTAGTACGCGGACAACTTTACTCTCCAAATCTGCCTGCTTAGCAGATGGTTGCAGCTCAGGAGGAGCCTCAGGGAGTCCAGCGATGACAAGGCTGCGCGCCCGCTTCTCAGCCTCAATGCCACTGGATATTTCCTCAGGTAATTTGGCCGCAAGAGCTCTTACCATTTCATCGATTTGTGGATCTTTATTGCGTTGAAGAATTGCATCTAAGATTTCTCTAGGAGACAATTGAGAGTAATCCACTTGTGCAGGGTTAGCACCTGTTACCTGGTTGGAGTGATTTGTAGAGGCATTACTCAATGAGTCACAGACTCCATTCGGAAGCTATCCGACCATAACGAGGAAAGTAAGACGCCTTGAAAATTGACACAGCTCCCAAGATTTTTAGCTTATATTTTGAGAACAGAATCAATATATGTGAGCTGGCATGACTGACACTGCCTAGCAGCTTGCTGAGACCTGCGCCGATTCATTGTTGCACACAAATACTTGTAGTACCAACAGCAACACACAACAAAACGGCGACTCCAAAGCACAATCAAAAAGCGGAAGAACAACTGAAGTGAATTCTACAACGGGTAGTAGAAATTTGCTTTAACCCATTGCGGATCGCCGTTATAGCTGCACCTCTGCAGGTTTTTGTCATCTGTTTATCTATGAGCGATGACCTATCAAAAATTTAGCCAGTATGCCAATAAGTGATATATCCCGTGTCCAAAAAAAAAATAAACTCATGAGTTTGTAACCTTTCAAAATGCTGAAAAAATCAGATTACTGTCCTTCTCCGCGTGGTGGCGTGCTGCACCATGTGCAGCACGCGGTCCGCAATGGGTTAAAAGCGGTTTGCAGACAATTGAATTGATGCTGGCCCGTGGGCTGAAATGCTTAAGGTGGTCACACACTGGACAACCATGGTCCAAGACAGAGAGCCATGGAAAAGAAGTTGGCAAGGCTAACCGCCGTGCTGATAAACAGTCTAACAAGGAGAGGACACCACGCCGAAGTGCCCACTTGTAACGGGACATACACTGCTAGATGTGTTTTCGTGGACGCTGATTTCGAAACTGCCCTCAATTTGTGTAACAACCCTCTGATCGGAATTATGATAGTGCAGTGGCAGGCCCGCCGAAGCCTTTGCTTTTTTGAGAACTTGCTAAGAGACCCTCACTTGCTACGGTATCACCAGCAGTCGCCTATAATTTACACGTTGAGAAGCTATAGCGGAAGAACTTCATTCAAGTGGGGTGCGCATTTGCAAGACCGGCCCTAGTAGACATAGCGCCTGCTATAGGCGTTTCTGTGCAAAACTGAGGTGATTCTCGCAATCAGCGTGTTGAACTACTCCTTTTGACAACTTCTGATACAAACCTAAAATTTTGAGCTGATGTCGAAAGTGTGGGCAGTTACATCTATCCATGACCCTTTGTCAGATTCCGTCATGTCCAATAACGAAACCTCGGACAGCTGCGTCGTCGTATTTTCTACTGCAAAGTGGGCATGTAAAATGTCGGATCTTGCGACATTGTTACTGCTCAGGCGGTTTATGCGCGACCCACTCTTCCTTGCAGATCTTCAGGGGGAGGCAGATTGTTTACAATGCAGCCCAACGAACGAATATGAGTGTAGCAATAGCGGTACATTTTATGCGGGGCATTATATAAATTATGATCCTGATGTGGGATTTTTTGTCCTTTTTTGTTTGCGCTCTGACCCGGTCCCCAATCAATACTTTGATTCCCGATCTTATTCGAGCCCTCTGCGCAAAAACCGATATTTTCAATCGATATCGATCGATAGCATGTGACCCGATGAAATTTCCGACTTTGACCACTGCCCCAATCAATACTGTGATTCCCAGCCTTCTTCGAGCCCTCTGCGCAAAACGAGGAAGTTCCTTCGTGTCACGTGCTATCGATCAATATCGATCGATAGCACGTGACCCGAAGGAACTTTCACGGCACCCAATCAATACTTGCTATATGACGTGTGGGAATTGAAGAAATGCCCAAACCAGTCGCATCGCCTGGCTACGCTGGGCATTCCGACTCCAAGAAGGAGCAGAGCTCGGCGTAGCCGGGCGATGCGACTGGTGGGGAGTAAAAAAGTGAGAAAAACAAAGTTTTGTGTGGAACCTGTGTTGTACACCATTCGATAGCATTTTTCATGGGAAATCGAACGGTGCACCCCTCAGCTCTGTAGAGTCATCTGGAAGAGCAAAAAATCTGATTTTCATTTTAGGGCATGACGGAGAGTGATGTTTGGGGCCACACCACGGACGGAGCGCTTACCCGTGACCAAATATTCTACCTCTTCCTACAGACAAGTGACCGGAGTCCACGTCGGTGGAGAGAATTTCTCGCTAAATCGCACGTGGCGCCAAGGGCTGGGAGGACGATCGGCAATGGGGAGCAAAAAAGTGAGAAAAACAAAGTTTTGTGTGAAACCTGAGTTGTACACCATTCGGTAGTATTTTTCATGGGAAATCGAACGGTGCACCCTCAGCTCTGTAGAGTCATCTGGAAGAGCAAAAAATCTGATTTTCATTTTAGGGCATGACGGAGAGTGATGTTTGGGGCCACACCACGGAAGGAAGCGCTTACCCGTGACCAAATATTCTACATCAATCCTACAGACAAGTGGAGTCTACGTCAGTGGAGAGATTCCTGGCTATCTTCTCAGGTTTCCGCAAATCATCTCCTCTAAATGTGGGGAATGTCACATAATAGGTCTACTACTACTGCTGGAAACTGTTCGAAGATTGTCATTTGGAGTGGAAGAATGAGTTGATCAGCGCACGATTAGCCAATTAGCACTCTAAAACAAAGTAAAGATCGTGAAATTCG